GGGAAACTCTTTTTACAGGCAATCTTTTTATATTCGTAGAGGGGCTATTTCAAACAAGATAGCTGCAGATTCCCATCATGCTCAAGGCTTCTTCTGTAGGGACTGAGCTGCATTTGGATTTAGCTTAGCTCTGCATTCCTTTTGTAGCTTTTAAATGTATGGAGAGGACGTGTGGCTGTGTTGCTGCATGCACCACACTTTTATTTAACCTTTTCCCATCCTGATGCTTGCAAAAGGCAAGAATGCAGTCTTCTGCAGTGTTGTTGGAAGGGTTTTGATACAGCGCTATTGTGTGGACTCTCAGCGTTGTATGTAGCTACTGGCAAGACCTTCACCTCATGCCCTTAGTGCTCTGCTGTAGCATGATTAATAAATATGCTGTTTCTTGCCCTCTAGTTCTTTTTGTTAATTTTGTAGTGCCAAGTTTTAGTTGTGAATGGGAAGCGGGCAGTTCCAGGTTTCCCAGGAACTAAATACAGCTAACAACTTTCTCTGTACAATTTCCTGTTACCTGTGTTAATTGAAGGCACTACAAAGAACAATCTTTCCTTCCTGCTTGGTAGCAACCTGATAGATTGGGATTAGGCAAGATTGTTTCTTGTGGTCCTTCTGCTCATTAAACTCTGTTTAACTGATGAAGTAGTCCTTTCACAAGCTGTTCAAAAGTTGGTTTCTCCTAGAGGAGAGTGACAAGTTGACAAGTCTGTTAGTAAACCTTTGGAGAAAGGAAGCTAATAAAGATGTCCGTTCTGCTCATGGAAGCCATGATTTCCATGTCTGGTTTTCATTAAATTCAGGCAACAAAATATTGAAGAGAATATGACGATAGCCATGGAAGAGGCCCCGGAGAGCTTTGGCCAAGTGGTGATGCTCTATATCAACTGCAAAGTCAATGGACATCCAGTGAAAGCCTTTGTTGACTCAGGTGACTATTCCCCGTTGTAAATGTTTCTCTATTATCTCGTCCCCCACCCCCTTGGGTTTTTTAAGGGAGATCATGATCTCCCACAGTAAGGCCATTTACATAATTCCCTCCCCATACAAATGTTACAAGATTTAAAAGAATCCAGTTAAAATTGGAATTGGCTCTTCTGGTATTATTCCCCTGAATTGAAAATGCATTGAGATTGATTTGGGAGTTAGTGCAATCTAGTGGGTAAAACAAATAACTTGGGAGTGAGAATTTCTAGCTTCTGATCATAATTTTGCTGCTCTCCTCCTACAGCTTTGGACAGTACGCTCCACCTATGGGCCTCAGTTTCCCTACCTATGAATTTGCGATTTGCTTTCCTCTGTAGCACAACTCTTTTCATCCATTGTTCTCAAAATGTAAGCATTCAGGATTATCGTGACTCCATAACAATAAAGACCTTCAGCCATGGATTGTGCATTTATATACAGTCAATAGAAAGCAGTGGTATTGTAAAACAAACAAACAACCTTTATGCCATGTGATTTCCTGATGCAGCCCTTGGTCCCCCTGAGTGTTAGATTAAACTCTCTGCACTGAAAGTGAGTAAGACTTTCCACTGACCCCTTGTTGTTTTAACATCGCTCGTTCCTCTTGTCTCTGGTAGGTGCCCAGATGACCATTATGAGCCAAGCTTGTGCTGAAAGGTGTAACATAATGAGACTAGTAGACCGGCGGTGGGCAGGAATTGCAAAGGGTGTTGGCACACAGAAAATCATTGGCAGGGTGCACCTCGGTAAGTAATGGCTCAACGGGTCTGTTTCTTTGCACAGCTTGAACTGTAGTGGTCCCTTCATTATTGTGTCTGTCGCTCTGCTCGGCACCAAAGAGTCTGCCTGTGGACTTCAGGGACTGCCGTGAGGAGGGGTCAGAATTCATCACCCACTTGTAGGTGCTATAGCCTTCGTACCCGACATCATTTTTATAATGTGTTCTGAACACCTTAATTCTGGTTGGTCTAGAGTTCCCAGGAAACTCTGAGAAACAGTGAATCGGGAATCAAGGTTATTAATGTAAAATAACTTTATTCTTTGCACTTTGGGATCAGGGTGGAGTTAGCAGGCAATGTGAATTGTTCAGGGGAGAATTCCAGGGCAGCTGAATGTTTTGCATACCCTTATGAGGAGAGCACTTTAAGACCTCTCTGTTCTTGCACAGGTTTTTCTAAAAATGAGGGAACAGCTGCCCTTGTTTGACCTTTGTTTCACCATCTTAATTCACAGACTTGCACTCTGCTTCAGTGCATGCAGGGTCTTCACCTGTAGCTTGAGGGGCTAGATGTGCAGTGTGTCTTAGACTGCAAAATCTGGTCAACTCTGAAAATAAGAGGGAAAATATTAGAAAGGATTTGGATTCAGAGTAACCTTGAAAACTGGAGAAAAGATCTGACATTGAAAGAAATTCAGTAAGAGCAAGTGCAGAGTCCTGCATTTGGGTTGTAACAATCATGTGCGCAAATATAAGTAAGGGGACAGCTGGTCATCAGGCCTCACTACTGCAGAAAAGGACCTGGCAGTTGTATGGGATCACAAGCTGAATGAGTCAACGCTTGACTCATTACAAAACAAGACCAAATAGCCTGTTGGGTTGTATTAACAGGAGTGTCATCTGCAAGTTGAGAGGAGTGAGTCTTTCAATCTAAACTAGTGAGGCCTCCCCTGGACTGCTCTCTCGGCGCCTCAATAGACAAATGGAGATGTAGACAAATTGGGAAGAATCCCATGGAAAACAACAAAAATGATTAACAGTCTAGGAGACTTGAGAACTGGTTCGAAGAACAGGGATTATTTAGTCTAGAGAAAAGACAAATGGAATTGGAGAAGTCTTCAAATACCTGAAGGGGGTAATAAAAAGGATGTTTCTCTGTTCTCTGTTGCCACAGGGAACAGGACATGAAATAATGGTCTTAAATTGCAACAATTTAGATTGAATATTAGAAATAACTTTCTAGCTATAACGTAGTTAAGCACCGAAATAGATTACCTGGGGAGGCTGGAGAATCTCCATATTTGGAGTGTGCAGGAGGAGATTAGCCAAACACTTGGCTGGAGGTTAGGCAAACACTTGGCTGCTTTAGCCAGGGATGATCTTGCTGTGAGCACAGGGGGTTGGACTGGATGACCTGAGCGCCCTTTTAGCTCTGTTCTCTGATTTTGTATCTTTGCGTGGGGAAGCAAATCGCAGACAGCAGAGTCCTTGTGCTGCAGGTCTTGGGCCGTTCTTGAGACTGGAGGGCAGTCAATATATCATGTTTGTTTTATTTTCTGTCTGCATTTCAGCTCAGGTTCAGATTGAAGGGGACTTCCTCCCGTGTTCTTTCTCGATCCTTGAAGAGCAGCCAATGGATATGCTTTTAGGACTGGATATGCTTAAGAGACATCAGGTAACTGAAGCCATTGGTGCTTATTTTGGAATGGCCCCTGGATCTTTCGTGATGAAAAGCACTACGTGCCAGATTGTTGCCATCCTTAGGAATTTTGGAGGATTAGGATATTCTGGAGAAAGATGGCAACAGATGGTTTTTGTACGGTGGCAGGAGAAGCAAACGTACCTTGTATAGTTTGTAAGTCCTTCGTGCCTTAAGTTCTTTGCTTTGAAATCTGGTGCCTTCAGAGCTTTGTAACTGAGCAGTTTAGAATGCAGTCACTTGTAGGGCCTTCCCTAACAGCTGGAACAGTTCCTTTGCTTCAATTTAAAAGGGCTGAAGAGTAGTAGAAGCAGCAGATAAGAGCAACTGAAAGACGTGTCTAGGTACGTTGAAGGCATGGGCTGCTCAAATATTTCTGAGCATATGTAGGGTGGTCGCTTACTAGGAGCCTGCTCTTCAGCTATTTACTGTAAGCTCAAGTTGTCTCTCTGCGTTAGGAAATGTACTGTTTAGCTGGTTGCTGTTAGGCCGACTGACTCTTACGCAGGCATTTGGTGTCTTGATTCTTCCGCAGTGTTCCATTGATCTCAAGAAGAATGTCCTAGTGATTGGCACCACTGGCTCGCAGACGCCTTTCCTTCCAGAGGGAGAGCTCCCGGAGTGCGCTAGATTGGCATATGGGGCAGGGAGAGAGGACATGCGGCCAGATGAGATTGCAGACCAAGAACTGGCAGAAGCGCTACAGAAATCCGTAGAGGAAGCAGGTACCATAGGGAGCCAAATCAGAGAAACTATCTACATAGTGCTATCAGCAGCATGTGAGGAGCGCTCTCTTCTGTCACCAAACAGCTCCTCATTTTTATTGACTTAGTACACTGAATGTAACATCAATATTAAACCGTGGAGACTTGATCTTTTCTTGCACAGTCTGATTGCTGCACTGTCTTCTTTGGGATATCCAAGTAAAATCTGTCTTCATGAAGATTGCATGCCTGTGGGGTGCTGTGCTGTACTCACAAGCTTGCCTTGTGACTGATTAGTAGCTCTTCCCTTTCCTCCCAAAATTGCCCTCTTGGTCTTGAGAAGTGAACAACTGCCTCCACAGTTCATTAACCTCAGTCAGGATTTTAACTTACGATAAAGGACATTTCATTTCTGTTAAGTGAAATTTCAAGTGAAATTTTAGCTATTTTAATTGGTGAGAGGGAGTGTGGAATCCAGCCACAGTCTACAAAATATTCTAGGAAAACTACAGTGAGTGGTTACAAAGGCTTCACTTGACAGATTTGCTCTGCAACCACAGAAGTGCACCATTTATCAAATTGTTTTTAGACATACCTGGTATTGCTTCAGTTTTTCTTCACTGAATGGTGCTGCCCGCTGTCACAACGGAAGTAGAAATATTTTTAGAGGAATTGAATTTCCCTTGTAGCAACTGTGAAAATGTCATCTACTCATTTAAATGAGCAGCTGCATTTTCTGTCTTCTAATATAATACATCAGCATTAATAGGGACCATAAAGGGGAAAATAATTGGCTTGTCCAACTTTTGGCTGCTATGCAACTTATAGAGAAGCCTTGCGAGTGCGAAGTCAGGCCCTGTCTAGACTGGAGAATTGGTGAAATAGTCACACTTGGAGAAGGAGGCATAGCTGCAAGCCAGACTGATTAAAGCTTCACTTTCGTTTTCTTACCTCCTCTTCCTTAACTGTCCTGAGGCACCTTCTGAATAAAAGAAATCTAAAAGGCTGTGGACAAACGTAATTTTCAGCTGCTTTAAAAGGGGAGGAAGTTGCCACTCTGGCATGCACATCAGCTATTATGATGCAATTATTTTGTCTTCTGTAACAAAAGAAGTGAGCTAAATTGATCTGACTGACAATCGGTTAAGCAGGTTGAAAGTTAAGAGTTTACTACACTTATACCTGATGAGAATGTGCACACATATTAGTTATAACACATTATACCACTATCACTTATTACCAGTATAAGTGTTACGTTTGTCCACGTCCCAAGGACTCAGAAGCCTCACCCTTTCAGTTAACTTTACTGTTCATAATACTCTTCCATTAGACCTCCAAAATATCCTTTAACAAAATCAAATCAAGGCCAATGAGCCTTTTTCTTCCAGATACATTTAAGGTAAAAAAAAAAAAAAATAGCAGGGAAAAATTCTAGTTATCCCTTTACCCATGACCCTTTACACCATTTTTAAGCTTTAAAATCTTGCTGAATCTTGCTAAATTTAGTGGCACAAAGGTTATGAGTCTTACTATATTTTAAAATACCATCTAACTGTCTAGAGATTTCTTCTTGTTTGAGCTAAAATGTGGTTGCCAGAATTGCTTATTGCACTGCATTTCTCCATTAATCAAGCCCATCCTCATCCTGTAATTTTTGTTATATTCTAAAGTGTAAGAAATCACTGCTTTCTAAAACTGGGTTACTTGTATTAAGGGGCACCATAGAGCTATAATGATTTGCCCCTTGGATCACTTTCCTTCTGTCTGTAGGGACCATCTGCATAGGATATTTAAGTGGGTGAAGACATTCTCTGCAGTAAAGCCTGTATTATGAATTGTTAGCTTCAGGGAATCAACAGGAATGGTTACTGCTTCCTTGACTGTATAAGTCAAATATGAATTTGCTTTTTACTGATTTTTAAATTTACAGAAAAGTAGATATGGACACAGACTATTGCCTGGCATCCAACTTTGCTACTAGCAATCTCTGGCAGAGTCTTTCACTGATATTACTTGCAAAAAAAAAAAAAAAGTTATAATCTTAATTTATTTTTCACTAGCATTTTTAGAGGCAGGTGAAAGCAAGTTCAGTTTTCAAGGTTTTACCGAACAGGTGGTTTCTTTGCAAAAACTAAAGATGCTCTAAACCTGGGTTTCATTTTATCTGAACCTTGAACTGAAGGACTTCAAATTGAAAAGCTTGTGCTTTTAAAATTAAACCACTGGAGTTGCATGCTAAAAATATGTGAAAATTGTTAGCACCAAAATGCTGTAGAATTCTTTAATACAATTCAAAAAGGCCTAATAGTTAATTATCAAATGTGCCAGTCTCCACTTTTGTGTTGATACCAAGTATAAAAGTTCAGTCCTAAACCAAGGTTGGTGACTTAAGGGGTTTAGAACAGACTAGCTAACTCCAGTTTACCCACTGCTTTTGTAAATTCTCTAACACAGGTATGAGTACACAGCTAACTAACTAACTGCGTTACATAACTAAGAAAGGTAGGTCTTGTTTTGAGGATTTTTTTTAATTGAGTCTTAGATATGTCATAAAGCTCAACCTTACAGGCAATTGTTAGCCATATGCTGAGTTGTCAGAATATTAACTTTTGCACCATCTTCCTCCCTTTCAAAATATTAGCTGCATCTAGATGGTACCAAGAAAACCAAGTCATAGAACCTGGAAGAAGAGAGAGAGAATTTAGTTCAGCCACAAGTGACTCAGCTCCCCGCAGAACTACCTGTGCCCTTTTGTAGCTGTTTGTTTGAATTTTCATTGCCTTTTCGTTCATGCTATACTAGACATCTCTGTGTACATCATTAGATAATTAAAGTTCCAATTTAAATACACGTGAATTAGTCCTGAGCCTTATTCAACCCTTTTGGAAAGATTTGCAGTTGAGCTGACAGATGAGCATCTAACTGCCTGTAAAAAGGCAGATAGGGTCAGGGTGTCATCCTGCTGCTGTCCTATATGTACAGCAATATCAGTTTGTCCCAGATCCTCCCGTTCTCTCCACTACTCTGTGAGGAATTTTTTTTCTCTTCTGACAACATGCAGTGGCTTGTCACCTCGGGTCATTTGAACTCCCGGTGATCCAAGATCTTAGTAGACTGACAGAAAAGCTACAGTTGGATTCAACAGTAAGCACAGAGAAATAGTTTATGTAGAGCTTTCCTTGCATCCAGGAAGCCTTTGTATATAGGCAGTGCTGCAACAGATGCAGCACTTATTTTGTCCAGCCTAGGGACAAATGAGGTGCACTTTATACTGAGGCTAGCACATTCCCGTTGTTAGTTGTCTAGTGCTATCAAATAAATCAATACAACAAATCCTTGTGCCCTGTCTCTTGTGGTATAGTTCCTTGATGGATCATCAGCAGGTGCGTTTGGCAGGACATCAGCTACTTTTGCTGTCTAAATGGCCACAGTGCTCTGATGTATTTGACTGATCAGACCCTTAGTACTGATTCCATGTGAACAAAGTATATTTCCACTGCATCAGAGGACTTTCCTTTTCCCCTTCTAAGAGCTGTGCCCTGCAGCCAGGCGTATGAGCATAGCATAGCAGTTGGAGAGACAGGAATCCCTCCTGTGTTAATCACATGCTGTTCCACTAGCCTTATTGCTCTCCCTACAAAAGCCTGGCAGTCTGGATGTCTGGAGTCTTTACGGATAAAGAGGATGGCCCAAGGCATCTGTTCTTATTTTTGTCCAGAGGAACGTCCTTTAGAAACTCAGTGCTCTGGCCTGCGGCACATCGCTTGGTCTAAATGGCAAACAATGGAGACAGGTACTTGAGAAGACAAATAAAAAGAAAAGACTTCCTATTACAGTAAACTTCCAGGCAAGTCTCAGTTGCAAGTCACAGGAACGTGGTTAGTCAGCTTTACCCAGTCATATACCAAAAAAAAAAAAAAAAGGAAGAATTTAAATGAAGCAAAATGGTTCATTGTGTT